GAATTAAAGGCACGACTATTTCGGAAATTGATGTTTCAACAGAAGCACCACTTTCAAGGAACAAAATGGATGCAAGTGCTAGCATAGCAGACATAGAATGAGGTTCAAAGGAATTCTTCACAGTTAAACTTGAGAGTTGTTTCCCAGCCTAACAACACAACTCTGAATTCTTGTGCTTCAGAGTTAAAGTTCAGAGTTTCTTTGTAGGCCTGAGGACAAGTCTGAACTTCTTTTCCTTAGTTAAAATTCAGAGTTGTCTACCAGACTTGTAAGGCATACCAGTATAAAAGTCTGAGGACAAGTCTGAACTTCTTTTCCTCAGTTAAAATTCAGAGTTGTCTTCCAGACTTGTAAGACATACAAGTACGAAAGTCTGGGAAAATCAGAGTTGTAAGTTTGAATTTAACTCTGAAGTGGCCTCCAGACTTCTAAGTATGAATGTAGGAATTCAAATGAAGTCTGACCTGTGAAGTCTGAAAGTCAAATATAATTCAGACTTGTAAGTATGAATTTAGGAATTCAAATGAAGTCTAAGCTATGAAGTGTTAGAATTTATGGTTTTCGATTGCTTGCATTATCACTTTCAGATTGAACTATTTCGATGCACAATCGAAATTTCAATCGGATAAAATTCAGTGGTTTTTCCCGAACAGAGAGTTTTCCCGTGTTATCAAATATGTGCTCTGAAAATCCAATGACTAAATCGTAGCTTTTCCCTCAAACGGTCGAAAACTGCTAGCCAGGAGCTCTGCCCCTTGGACCCTGCCACCAGGGGCGCTGCCCCCGAACCCCCGTCGTTTAGGGGTGTAACGCCCCAACCCACACACTGCATGTAACACATATTTCGTACCAAAGAAATACATATTCATATACACCTGGGTCCCTTAGTACAAGAATCTACCATCATGACCAAATACAAGGTCCAAAATTCAAAATACACATCTTGTACTAAACAACAACACTAATCATCAAAAGTAATTCTGCAGCCGAATGCACATAAGAAAAGCGTTAAATCTTTTCCTTTCCTTTACCTTCTATACTTCCTGCAATACATATTTTAAAATCACAAAAAACGAGGGTTAGACTAAAAAGTCTAGTGAGTTACCCTAATCATGTAATTTGCAGGGTAAAGGATCACCAAAATCTTTATAAAACAATTATTCACATATATCACAAATATATGAATACACAAGAAGGTAATACCAATTCATTTTCCATATTCAAGCTAACCACGTAGCTATCCAAATTCCATACYTTTGARCCAATCGGGTTCCATTTAATACCATTTTAAACCTTTTCTTTATCAATTAAGGTTTAAACAAAAATTCAGGCCAAACCTGACGTTTCCTTCTCAATAACATCCAGACTATGATTTTCCAATAAGAACCTTGATCCTAAATCCTTAAATCACAAAGAAATAAAGATTCCAGACCACGGTAGTCTTAAAGGATATAATAGAAAGTGTTATATAATACCACACACGGACAATGTCACCCTTATAACAAATGGACACCTCTCCTTGATATGTCACCCTTATATCAAATGGACATCTCTCCTTGATATGCCACCCTTATCACTTCATCAAATCATTTGTAAAATAATTCCGAATAGACCGCAGTCATTGGAATTGTTATCAGTCTGAAAACATTTAAATCAAAACTTCATTTTTATGATAAAATAATAATTTCTTTTAAAACACAAGACATCTTCACAAATCCAATCAACAAGTCCGGTCAACAAATCCGGTCAACAATCATCCGGTTTAAAACACTTGGACTAAAGTCCACTTTGTCTGGACATCTAATCCGGTCAACACATCATACATTCGTTGAACGGTTTAACACTTGGAACAACATTCAAATTGAACGGATAACGAATCCGAACAACAATCCGTTCAAGACTCGTCCGGTTTAAGACTAAACCGCTCACCACATGGTCGTATTCCTACTTCTCAGTTTAAAATCATAAATAATACTATCATTTATAAACCGCTCAATATTCACCCGGTTTACCAACACCGGACAACAAACCGCTCATGGTTTGTCCGGTTTAAAACAATCCGGTCGCTAAGCCGCTCAAGGCTTGTCCGGTTTAAAACAATTCGGACAATAAACCTTTCAAGGCTTGTCCGGTTTAAATGCTTATCCGGTTACTCTTTGTCCGGATAAACACTTAGACAATAAAATCATAGTTTCTTTTCAAATAAGAACAATACGAAACATGCAATTAAAACCAGTAAAATCTTTATGCAAAAAGGTTAGAAACCACTCACTTTATAAAGCTTTTGAATCCAAAATGCTAGAAATCAACTCTTTTGAAACTTGACTCTTGCAAATCAGCTTGAAATCTCTTTCTTATAAACCTCTCAACTTTTACTCAAAATAGCAGGAAAGGTTGAATGAAGAGGTAAAGCCCCTTTTATACTTTCCCAAAATGGAAAGTCGGCTAACTCACATAGCCACGTGTATGCATCTCAATCTCATATATACACCTATGCATATAACCACATACATGCATACATACACCATGCATGCACACACATAAACACATATGCATACATACCTTTTCCATGCATACATCCATGCACATGTTATGCAAATATATATATATATATATATATATATATATATATTTATCCAATTAATGCACAAATCCACATACCAGCATGTATCAAATTATCATGCTATCACGTAATCATTTAATCAAATAATCACATATAAATTACCTTGAGTAATAACCATGATCTGGTTATCACAAGGGGCTTCGCCCCTAAGTCAAAATAAACTCAAACAAGTGTGCATTTTGCACCTTCCTTAGTTGTTCGATATTTATCAAAAATTATTGGTCAACAAATTAATTCATTACATTTAAATGACATTACTGATACAAATCACTAACATGAAGTTATCAGATATTGGTTATTTCTCATACTTACAATATAACTCTGAATTGTTTTGTTCCAGACTTAGTTTCATAGTTTATTCCCATAATTATAATACAACTATGAACTCCTCTTCAGAGTTACGTTTCTGAGTTATAAGAAGTCAGAATTCTTGTGACTCAGAGTTATGCTCATAGATATTTTCTAGACTTAGAAGACAATCTAAATTCCTCTTATTTAGAGTTAAGTCCAGAGTTATTTTCCAGCTAACAATATAATTTTGAATTATTGTGTTTCAGAGTTAATGTTCAAAGTTTTCTTTTAGATCCGAGGAAAAGTCTCAACTCATTTTCCTCATTTAAAATATCTTGTGTAATGCACGGGTTCGAATCTAGTATGTATATATATATGAACACATCAAACCCCTCAACTTACCACCCTTATTCAAAAACAACCCCAAATTTTTAACTCAGAACACAATTATCACATACAAAATCAATTTAGAACATCAAGAACAAATACATGATTACAACAATTATTATAAAAATAAATGAAATAAATAAATAAAAATAAAACATAGAGTAATAAAGAAATAAGAAGCTTGAAAAATGTCATACATGAGGAGTTTTAGATATAATCAAGTAAATTTCTGTTCTTTTTTAACTTATTGTTTGAGTTTTCTCTTGTTAATATAGAGAACAGAAAGAAAAATAAGTATAATAGAGTGAATTGTTGAGATAAATATGAATATTTATTTAAAAACCTATGCTTTATTTTCTAGGAAAAACAAATAATAAAATCTAATACAAATCGTCATCGACTATAAATAGGATTGGGTTTCGATCGGATTAATTCTAAAACTCATAGGAAATGTAGGAATACCCCGTGACTATTAATCATGAATGCACACATGTATTGACAAGCACACTGTCGAAAATTTAGGAGATAGAGATCAATCATCCGAACACTGCATCAACATTGTTCATTAATATGTGTTAAGGTATGTTACTATATGTTAATATGTATTATTATGTGTTAAAAGTTTTCGTCATTACTATGTGTTACTCAAGGACGTTCTAATCTTTTTGGAAACTCTGTTACATCCAAAACTTTTGATTACATTGCATAAATAAGATAACAAAGAATATATGTTAAGAACAAAAAATAGGCTAAACCTAAAACGATTTAACAATTTGAAATTGTACCTAAACCATTAATGATTTGAACTCAATTAACTTCGGTTATAGTTTTACACAGGTCGATAAAAGACTCTAAACACATGTCCAAATTTTCAGGAGCCCTGTTCAAAATCTCACATTTAACATGCTAAGGAATGCCCCTGGTGTTACTTTGAGTCAAGGTGTACAAAGATTGCAGATTAAAGTGTTAAAGTTTTCATATTAATATACGTTATAATCATGGAGGTATGCTAATACATATTCATGAATGTTTAGAGTTTGTTATGGTGTGATAACATATATTAAAAGAAAATTCCTAAATGATTCTTATTTTATACTATAAATAATATAAGTTGGGTTCGAATAAGAAGGATAGATAAAGATAAAAAGTTTATGAAAAAATCTTCACCCTTAGATTGCACATTAGGATAAGATACATTAGATCAATCTTGGTATCAAGCGCGATTCATGAGAAAGTTTGGAATTAAAAGTAATCAATGATCCAGATCCTTTCTTACGCTTTTCACCCAACTCTCTTTCTTACACGATCTTCTGTCATAAATGATATATACTGAATACATATTTTAAGCCAACTTTGTATTAAAAATAAATATTTTGAAAGAATAGACCTTTAAAAAACATGGAAAAGCTACTGAGAAACGAGAAATGCATTGGAAAAAGTGGTCAAGACTCCTCACCCTTTCGCTTTCTCTTCTTTTTTGCTTTGGGACATCATTATATTCCCCAACAATAATTACTTATTTAATTTATATTCTAAAAAGTAATATATATATATATATATATATATATAAATTATATATATAAAGTAATATATATATATATATATATATATATAAAAACCAAAATGAAAATAAAATTAAACCACTTTTGATAAAATAATAAAAATAAAAATATCAAACATATTTACCAAAATGTACAACCACTTAAACACTAAATATTTAAAATCAAAATAAAAACTAAAAAAATGACCAAATTTATCACCTTCCTATTTGGGTATGTTGATGATCATCTTGGACCAGAGAGCTCCATGGCATGGGCATCATGGTCATCATCCATCAACATCACCCCAAGCATGCTCGATGTGTAGTCATCATCATTCTCATCAAGTTTTCCCACCATTCCATTCCCATCCTCATTTCCATTCCCATTTCCATTCCTATTTTCATTCCCGTTCTTTCTTATGCTTATGCTATTGCCATTTACACGGTTATGCGTGGCCGCCCATTTCTCTGCCAAACCGTCACCCTCCAGCATTCGAACCACCTCCGACATCCGAGGCCGGTGTGCCGGGATATATTGTGTACAGAGTAAAGCCACTTGTAGCATTTCACCAACATCGATCTGATCGTAATTCATCCCGAGCTCTTTGTCGACTAAAACCTCCACCTTTTTCTCTTGGTGTGCTTTTTTCACCTGAAAACATACAACTTCTTTTACGCATTAAAGACTTGTCCATGCATTGTAGGTAGGCTGAGAACAAATCCCAGAATGTTAGAACATGCATTAGGTGTTTGTACTATCACCAATGCTATACAACTATCAGATGCATGTGATTGACGTATATCTTTAGGCCCAAGTACTACAACACTACTAGGCCTTACAACTGTACAAGTTGTCAATGCATGTAAGACATATGGTACAAGTTGATAATGCATCTTTTTTAAAGACCAAAATAGACCTCACATATCATTCAATCATACAAGCTTGTCAATACTTGCCTTAAGGAGTTGTACTGTACTACCTCTAACTGCTAGGACAGACTGTAACCAGGTCTGTACAAATGTACAAGTCATCAATGCATGTCTACAACATCCTATATGCAACTAAAATATGGTCCGAACAAGTTTTAATGGTAAAAGAACTTACCCATTCAAGCATGGCACCTTTCTGATTAACCGTTTTCCCGAACTCGAAAGCTCTCATACCCGTTATCAGCTCCAACAACAAAATCCCGAACCCAAACACGTCGGTTTTCTCTGATGACTGGCCAGTGGAGAGATACTCGGGTGCAATGTGGCCCACGGTACCTCGAACCTCGGTGGTGACATGCGAGTCCGCATGGTCAAGGAGTTTCGCAAGCCCAAAGTCACCCACAACGGCCTCGAAGAACTCATCCAAAAGAACATTAGCCGCCTTCACATCGCGGTGGATAATCTTCGGGTCACATTGTTCGTGTAGATACAACAGGCCTCGAGCAGTACCAATCGCGATTCGCTTTCGAGCATTCCAGTCCAATGATGGCTTACCTAGATTCCCATCATTAGTTTTCGAAAAACAACAACATATGTTGACCATTTATCAAACTGTCATGAAGGACATATTCTATGAAAGGACAAGATAAAAGGAAACACCAAAACAATGCAGCAATTCTTAACCGCTGTGGCATAGTACTTACAAAGCATCCCACATTTGTTTTTGAAATTGTCAATTGGTACCCACAAGCATCATCTTGCCTGGGGGGTGTATATATATATATATATATACACACGTGTAAATATATAGAGGGAGGATCAACCATGAACAAGGTCAAAATAAAATAAGGAACACGAGAATCACCAAATCACATGTGATTTTGTATTGAAATCCCACGTGATTACGAAACACTGTCAACGCAAGGGTGTGCCGCTAGTTGTGGCCACCGTCGCACGTAATCACATGCGATTTTACCCATGAATTTAGTGTAAAATCACATATAATTTGGCGGTTTTCATGTTCTCTTATTTGGTCACTACTTTCGCTTTTCTCTCTTTATATATATATATATATATTTATTTATTTATTTATAGGATTGGGTTCTGGTGAGAAAGAAAATTAAGGTGAAAAGTGTAAGAAGTGATCTCCGCCCTTGGATGCACATTAGGATGACATGTACCGAGATGAGATGCATCGAGATGCACCGGATCAATCCACATATCAAGCATGACTTATGAGTGGGTTTGGGATTAAAGGTGATCAAGGGTCCAAGATCCCTTCTTATGCTTCTCACCTTAACTGTCTTTCTCACACGATCCTTTGCCCCTATATATATATTATAAGGTTGGATTTCGGTGAGAAGGAGAGTTAAAGTAAGAAAAGTAAGAAGGGATCTCCACCCTTGGATGCACCGAGATGCACCAGATCAATTTCTGTATCAAGCATGATTCATGGGTGGGTTTGAGATTAACGGTGATCAAGGGTCCAGATCCTTCGCTTCACATCTTAACTCTCCTTCTCACACGATCCTTCGCCTATATCTTTCATAATGTTTGCGCTATATATAAATGACAAATATACACTAAAAAGAATTAGTTTCCTAGTTCTCAAAATATTTGCACTATATATAAATGACCCAAATATAGCTGATGTCGGACTCTAATAAACAAGGTTATAAAGTTCAAACCTTTAAGCCTTGAAGCTACGCTGCCATTGGACATGAAAGGGTAAACGAGGAGCCTCTCCACCGGAGTGGCACAGTAACCAACCAACCGCAGCAAATTCCGGTGAACCGCTAAACTAATGAGCTCCAATTCTGTCCGAAATTGTGATTCTCCGGCGGTTCCATTGATGTCTTTCAAACGCTTAACGGCCACCATCGTCCCATCTCCTAGTTTTCCTTTGTAAACATTACCGAATCCTCCGGCACCCAGAATGTTTTTCGAGCTGAAATTGTCGGTTGCATATTGAAGTTCTTTGAATGTGAAGCTTCTCAAGTTTCCTAAGCTCATTAGACCCTCTTCTGGTACATCTGCCACCAATTAGTTTTTGCATCAGAATCAACTCTGACTTTTGAGTCAAGCTTTACATACACATCTTCACAAATTTAGCATAAAGATTTCTCAAAGTATCTTAAATGTTACAAAATTTAACACATCTTTCATGGGTTTTAGCCAAATTTACATAAATCATATAGAAAATTGAAGTTGAAACTTGGTTTCTGCTTCTACGTTTGACTTTTTGAGTCAAACCTACAATTTTCTAGTTAAAAGTTACAAATGTTAAAAAAGGTTTACATACTTTATTTCAAATTGAAGTTGAAACTTAGTTATACTGAACTGAAAAGGCAAACATGCACATAAATACACAATTTCATGTCAAGAACCCTTTTCTTTTCTGCTTTTAGGACCGTTGTTTGAGGTCAAAGCTTATTTATTCAAGTTAAAGTTTGTTGTGCATATAACAAGAGATTTAGCGTCAAATTTTCTCAATTTGTAGTAATTATTGTAACGTTTAACGGGTCGATTGAAATTTTCTTTAAAACATACACCATTCATACTAAATATGTAATCAAAACTGGGTTGCTTTGACCTTGAAAGTCAAACGTAATAGCAAGAATTCATTCATACCATTAATGTCAAGAATGCTTTGCTTCTGGTTTCTGGTTCTCTGCCACAGGAGAATCCCAAGTGATATGATGAGAAAAGCAAGACAACCGAGACTGATTCCAAGAGCAATGGCTACTCTTTTCGGCTTCGATTTCCCTGAATTTTTGCAATTTTTTAGAGAGAGAAACATGGTTTACGAAGAGAGAAAGAGAATCGAGTTCTTGAGAACTTGAAACCTGATGATGAATTAAGCTCAAACGAAAGAGGCTCAGGCAAAGTTGATCCAGAACAACCCTCATTAGCATGGCTCCCACAAATCAAAGGATTACCCACAATACTGTTCAAGAAAAATGCATTTTTTTTAATCCAGTTTTCAAGAAAATCATATAACTCGTCAATCCATACACCCAAGTCCCAGCAAAACGAGTCTTTTAAGACTCGTTTGATTTGGGACCCGGGTGTATATCGCTTAATACCAAGATTCACACATACATACTTGAATGTTCTTGCTGAAAACTTGGGCACAGGACCACTGAGATTGTTGTATGACAAGTCCCTGAAATGAGCCAAGTTTTTGTCGAGGATTCAATGATATCAAAGATGGTAAGTTTACAGATTCAACAAACCCTAGAAAAAGACTACACAAAACAATAAAAAACAAAGAAATTAAACTCACAAGAGTGCAAGTTGAGGAACAGAAGCTAAGGACAAAGGAATAGCTCCAGACAAGCTGTTGTTATTCAACCTTCTACTCATTACATGACAAAAAACAAATTAAACACAGGGTCAAAGACTATCAAATTAAGAAACAAATCCAAACATTTCAACGGTCAATTTAAAAAACTAAAATTGACCCATCAAAGATCGTGTTTCAAATAAGGGAGTTTTAGAGAGAGAAATCACTTACAGATACTGCAGGCCATTCAAAAGACTTAATGATTCAGGCACATCACCACTGAGTTTGTTGTTTGACAGATCCAACGTTTGGAGTTTTGGAAGGTGGCCTATTCTGGCCGGAATTCGGCCTGAGATGTTGTTGTTCTGCAATAACCTGTTGTCATCACTTACAAATGTTTAAAAATACAAAGACGGGTGTTGTAAATCTTGATCAATATCTACAAGCACTTACACTTGACGGAGGTTTGTGAGATTAGCAATAACCCCTGGCAATGTTCCTGATAAACCTTGGCTTGGAGCTCCACTGTAATGAAATCCAAAAGTGTTTTTCATATAAAACAGTAAAAGAATCAAATTTAGTGTGTGTGTATGGGGTTTTCGTAGATATAAATATGTATGCATATGTGAACAAGAACATACAGGCCGGTGACAAGATTATCAGGAGAACAAGTAATCATAGCCCAGCTACAAGGGTCAACAGAGTCTTCATCCCAGTTGTTGAGAGCACCATGAGGATCATTCAAACCACTTCTAATCAATATCAGAACTACAACTGCATAAACAATATCAGATCAAGAAAGCAAAAACCCACAAAAAAAGAAACTGAAAAGAAGAGAGAGAGTCAAAAACCTTCAGGATTACGAGCTTCATAAGAGAGCGTAAGAGTAGGAAAGAAAAGAAAGAAACAGAGGAGGCAAAATCTGAGACTTTGAAGCATGATGATGATCATTGAATGCAAGTGAAGAACATTAATTTCTAGAGAAAATAAAAACAACATGAAATTTAATGTGTTTATATGAGTCAAGGTTTTGGTTTCATTTTGGAATGGTTTTAATGTCTGCAAATGTGGTTAAGTCACGACAATTGCCATTGCAAAGAGTATTTGTAAAGAGAGAGAAATTGCTATAAAGAAAAGAAAGAGAGAATCAGGTGGGGATGATACGGTGGTGTCAGTGACAGTGAGTAAGCTTCCTCCCAACTTGCTTTAATGGCTATCCTACGCATCTTATGCTAACATACGCTTATTCCTCTCTTTTCTTTTCCTTTCTTTTCCCATCTTTTCTTTAAATCAGTCTCTTTTCTTTTTTCCCCTGTTGGTCTGATTGCTTTACAAAACCAGCAGACGATGCACAAAATCCTTATAAATTGATTAGAAACTAATTGATCTTTAAAAACTTGAAAAAACCAGTCATCATCAATATCATCACTGTCACATTGTGCTTAATATTAACACTAAGGAAGTTGTTATACTGATTTATGACACGGGTTACATAAAAGACGTAAAAAAAGGAACCGGTTCAAAATCTGATGTGATAAAATCATGACGACAATGTGTAGAGGTTGTTTGTTTACCTCTTAATAGTTTCATTAAGATGTAACCTCTGAATCATTAAGAAGTGAATTTTGTTTGGTAAAAAAAAAGATTGCATGTTAATGATTTTGTATCTTGAATCTCCCTTGATCATTAAAAGTCTTAATTTCATTGTACATAATTACCAAATAATTATATTTTATTTTATATTATATCATAAGAGTTTCTTAATCATTTTGACTATTTAATCTTTTTATACTAAATCATTCAATAATTATCAATGTGTTGAATAGAAGATGGGAGGAAATCATGTGATGGGAGATGAGTGAAAATATGTTCCTTTTGGTTGTCTAAATTAATATGTATATGCAAAGATAAGACTACACCCTGCCATATAACCCCCCTTATCATTATTTCCCTGCAACTCTACTTTGCTTTTCTCATTTCTTGTACCCTTTCAATCAAACAAAAACAACACCCAAATCAAAATATTTCATTTTTCAATTTCAATTTTAATTTAAATAACACCATTATTGCATATAAACTATGCGTACTTTTATTTGATGGTGATTTATATGTTAAAATTTATAGTTTCAAAAATAAAATCTATTTTGAAAAGACTTTTTAAAATGTAGAGTACCTTTTAAACAAAGTATATACTCACAGACAATTTAATGAAAATGATTTTTCTTTAATAAAATTTACTTTTAAACGAGGGTCATTTACTGAGGTGGTTTTTGTTTTTTAAAAGTCTGGAGTTTTATTTTACTTCTGATTTATAAGAGTTGGTGCTGAAGTTTGAAATCTGAATCAATAAAATTATTTGTTTTTGTAAACTGATGAATCTTTGAGTTGTTTAAATTTGTCTGTTTAACCCCTTGAAAAGTTATAGTGTTGAATTTATAGATTAATTTATATAGTTTCACATATTTATTCATCATCATTAAGTAATTTACATCTATATTATATTAATTAGCATTTATTTAAATGAAAATATGTCATTGACGGTATTTAACACATTTAAATCATATTAAAATGCATCAATTGAGAGAGGTGCGGATTGATTTGGTAAGAATATATTGAGAGAAATGATAGATTAAGGTTAATCGGGTGAGAAACATCGTTGTTGAGGGTTTGAAGAACAATAAGATGCAAATAAGAGGTTGATTCACTTTTTACTAGATATGAGGACAACAAGATATAAGTGCATCTGAAAAATTTGGAAAAAACAAACAGTCCGAATGACTCTACCTCTTATAGAATCAGACATAAGAGGCTGATAAGAGTTTTTTAATAAAAAAAACAAACAAGACCTAATTGATTACCGTGTTAGTGTGTCCGAGAATTTTATTCAATACGAGGCATGACAACAAATAAGGTTCTTATTCGGTAAGTAAATGAGAAGACTCCTACTCAATTAATATTTAACGGGTAAGAGACGCTTACAAACAATTCATATTGATGGCCCAAAATGTTATCCGACAACGTAAGAAAGGATGAAATTTTTGTTGGTGTTTACTTCCTTGATAGTCATTTAGTAAACAGTCCCTGAATGTATCAATTGAGATGTAGTATTTAAATTTGTATACATAATTTTGATTCAAGTAAAAACGGGTAAAAGGGATTCAATAATCAAGGGATTAACATATATGTTACCCAAATACTTAGAAATACCAGAGCAACTTACTCTGAAAGTTTCTTTACAACTAAAAATAAGCATTGAGAGTGTGTTTTGTATTTAAACAGAATAAAAGAGACATTATATAATAGTTGTTCAACATTTAGTAAGACATAATTTGATAAGACAGAATAGGTGACCAATTTACACCTAATGAGTTGTTCATATCATTTATATATTTTGATTAATTTATATAATTTAATAAATTATAATAAGATAAATATATTTATAACAAAATATATCATTACAAAGTCTTCGTCAAAACACATAAAATGACACGAAAATAAAATATTTATGTACTTTTCAATTTTATTTTATATTTTTTCTATATTATTTTTTATTATTATTAATGTTTAATAAATTATATAAATCAATTAAAATATAGAACTATATAGAAATAATTTTTTAAGGAGAGGGAAATGGAAGTTTAAATAACATAAATCACAATAAATAAAATTTAAAGAATTGATAAAATGTAAAAAGAGATGTGTATTTGATGTTTTAAAAGAAATTTAGATTTCATTTTGAAGGTATATTGGTAAAATATAGATTTGTTTCACTGTGTTCCATGGGTGGGATGGGAACACGTTTGTTCTACATAAAAGTCTTATCAAACGTATAACAATGATTCATATTCTGTTTTGTTTTGACATATACAATGTACCAAATGCATCATGAATGACTAAGTTTGTTCCATAACAAAATTAAACATTAAAATAACCTAAACATATCGTGCACATATCTTCTTTTTAGAATATTGAACACATATAACATATATCAATCACTGTTGAAAATATTGTTTCATTCCATAAATAATACAGAAACATATCAAATCTCATGCAAAATGCTAAGATAGTTTGAAAGAGGTAAAACATAAAATGCATCTCATATAGGGTTAGGTTCCGGTAAGAAAGATAGTTAATGTGAGAAATCTAAGAAGGGATCTCCACCATTGGATGCACATTAGGATGAGATGCATCGAGATGCACTGGATCAATTCTCGTATCAAGATCGATTTATAGATGTGTTTCAGATTAAAGGTGATTAAGGATTCAAATCTTTTCTTACGCTTCTCATCTTAACTCTCTTTCACACACACGATCTTTCGTCTATATATATATATAAGTGTGTGTGTGTGTGATATGTATGAGAAGTCACATTTTGATAAGAATTGTAGAAGGGTTACAAATGATGTTAGTGGATGTTAGCATGGAAATGTAAATATATGTTAATGTATGCAAACTTCCACTAACAAAGAACTTCTAATCATGTTCACCGGACCCAACTATATATTTATATATGTGTGCTGTGTGTGTCAATGTATGTGAACTCCCCTAATAAAGAACTTCTTACCATGTTTATGGGAACCCAACTCTCTCTCTCTCTCTTTTTATATATATATATATATATATATATATATGTGGCTAATCAAGTGAGAAAGATAACGTAGGTGGCAGCCAAGATAGTTGGATTGTGTAATACAAAATAGTGTAAACTTATAGATGTTATGTATATTATATATATATAATATGTATATGTATATGTATATGTATATGTATATGTATATGTATATGTAGATGTAAATGTACACGTATTTCAAAAAAAGAAAAAGGTATTTTAGAATGTGAGAAAAGCTTCTGTTTTGAGTGTTGTTTGCTTTTTTACTTTGTTCCTTTTTGTTGAATGTTGATGATGACACACCCCTCCCAAACTCCCATTCATCAATAATTATTACTTTAATCTTTCATCTTATCAAAATTCCACTTTTTTAAGGTTAAATAAATTAATAAATAACAACCCCCCACATGTATCCTGTACTTGGTTCTTTACGTTTTCCAAATATATATATATATATATATATATATATATATATATATATATTATATTAAGAGGGAGTTTA